CTTTCTACCTACACGATCGTCGAAACGGCACCATCTGTCCTCTACAACCACCAGTGCTGGGTATCGTACCTCCAGCCGTAGTATCTGCCCCACCATCACATCCTCGTGTTGGAGGTTATAGAAGCGGTAATCCTCCAATCTCTCCTTCTCGTACGGCGAGTGCAACAGCCGTCGCACAGGCTCGAACGACACAAGCTGCGGTACAACGTCTCTCGCAAGAGTGTAAAAAATTCCATAAAAGAAATCAAATTTGTGCGTAACGTTCCCTTTTAAAACAATACCATCACAAGGAACTCCCCAATACAGCCCCCGGCGTGGGAGTGAGCGCAGATCAGCGAGGTACTGCGGCACACGCAGAAACGTGTCGTCGTCACCCTTCGCAAAGTACGTCGCAGTCGGGAACAGCCGCAGCGCCGTGTCGAACCACCGGAACACCTTGCGGCTCAGCCCGATCTCAGCCTCATTCCCCCACTTGAGTCTACCACCAATCGTCTTGTTGGTCGACGGGCGCCCCTCATTCATCGGCAGCGCAATCACATCGTGCCACTGCTCCGCCTCCTGCCGCAGCGCCGCGGAGTAGGTGAAGTTGTGCGACGGGTGCCGCCCAAACACGTACAGCACCAGCATCGCACCGGTGAAGTTGTTTGCTCTCGTCGCCACACCGGGGAACCGCCAGCACGACGTACGCTGCAGGTAACGGCGCCTCCGCCTCACATCCATCTCAATGGACGGGATGCCAAGCACAATGAGGAAATCACGCTCTCCCCACGTGCGCACAACACTGCGTGGGACGTACTGCAGGGACTCACTGTCGAATGCGGCGTGCCCACGGCGAGAATCAGAAGCAGCCCAAGAATTTAGCGCATTGTTTAGAGACCCACCCGACAGAAACGAATATCTGGCATTCATTTGTTGGAAGCCAATCATAATCGTCAGGAGAAAGAGGCAACAGACACAAACACGAGCTGTGTTCTGTGGACGGCGGTGTGCCATGGCCGATGCGCTACTGTGGNGGGATGCCAAGCACAATGAGGAAATCACGCTCTCCCCACATGCGCACAACACTGCGTGGGACGTACTGCAGGGACTCACTGTCAAACAAGGTGTGTGCGCTGCGAGGATTCGTCACAGTGCTTTGAGGCGGTACACCGTGTGGAAGGTCCTCAGACCAAATTAATGGTTTTACCTCCATCAAATGAAATCCAAAGACTATAGCCAGAAGGAAGACGCTACATACAGAAATAAGAGTCGTCCGCCGAAGCGAGTACTGTGGCATAATCAGCGGACGCTCTTATAGGAAGCAGAGGGTGAAAAGGGGAAAGAAAAGTCACTAGAAAGAAACAGTAACGAAAGCTCCTGGAAAAGAAAATCCAAGAGCAGCCGCAGCCTTCTGTGTCATCGCGGTCAGCACAGCTCAGTCACAGCCACCCTGTGGCTACGCAGGAAGATCCCTCAAGGATGGTCAGGTTGCATAGTATGATTGCTACATACACTGGCGTAGAAGCCAAAATGGTAGAGGCAATCCTTTCGAAACAGGGAAGCAGTACAACGTCTGGGAAACTAAGACCGCGTGATTCTTACCACAGACAAGCAAGAGAATATAATCTTAGTATGAATAAAGCAGCCCTATGAAAAATCACGACCGTTCGTTAACAAAAGAATTTAATATGCCCAGTATTCTGCCACTTCCAAAGCACTGTGCTTGGCAACGTATCATTGTTAAACAGCTCCATTAGTTTCCCATAGCTATCTTCCGGTGGAATATGAAGTACAACGGACATAAATGTAGCTCGAAGCTTCCCTGTTCGGTCTCGCCCAGCATGAAAACGGTACCAACAATCTTCCACAACCACCAATGCTGAGTATCGCACCTCCAGCCGTAGTATCTGCCCCACCATCACATCCTCGTATTGCATATTGTAGAAGAGAAACTCTCTCTCATTCCTCTTGGTATACGGCACATGCACCAGCCGTCGCACAGGCTCAAACGACACAAGCTGCGGCACCACGTCCCTCGCAAGAGTGAAAATAATTCCATAAAAGTAATCAAACTTATGAGTAACATTTCCCTTTCGCGCAGTAGCGTTGACAGGTACCCCCCAATACACCCCGCGGCGAGGAAGTGAGCGCAGGTCGGCGAGGTACTGCGGCACGCGCAGGAACGTGTCGTCGTCCCCCTTCGCGAAGTATGTCGAAGTCGGGAACAGCCGCAGCGCCATGTCGAACCACAGGAACACCTTGCGGCTCAGCCCAACCTCAGCCTCATTGCCCCACTTGAGGCCACCACCAACCGTCTTGTTGGTCGATGGGCGCCCCTCATTCATCGGCAGCGCAATCACATCGTGCCACTCCGCCGCCTCCTGCCGCAGCGCCAAAGAGTACGTGAAGTTGTGCGACGGGTGCCGCCCAAACACGTACAGCACCAGCATCGCACCGGTGAAGTTGTTTGCTCTCGTCGCCACACCGGGGAACCGCCAGCACGACGTACGCTGCAGGTAACGGCGCCTCCGCCTCACATCCATATCGATGGACGGGATGCCGAGCACAATGAGGAAGCCACGCTTCTTCCAAGTGCGCACAACACTACGTGGGACGTACTGCAGGGACTCACTGTCAAACAAGGCGTGTGCGCTGCGAGGATTCGTCACAGTGCCTTTGAAAGGTACGCTGCGTGGAAGTTCATCAGGCTGAAGCAGAGGTCTAACCACAGAATATTGAAAGCCGAATACTGCAATCAGAAGGAAGACGCCACAGACACATATACGAATGGCATACTGAAGGTGGCGGTGTGCCATAAGCTGTTGGCGCTACTGTAGGGAGAAGACAGCTTGGGTAAAGCAAAAAGAAAAAGCAACACGATGAGCCAGCAGTGGATGCGCGCAGAAGAGTTTCACCGGCAGGAGCGGTCATATGCATATACACGCAAAGCACACAACGACCACAGCCATCCTTTGGGTGAGGAAGATCCATCAAGAAAAGGCAGGGCGTGGTATGATTGGCATGTACACCGGCGCATCAGACAAAGTCAGAGACAACACTCTGCCTAAACAACTCCCAGAACAATATAAAAAAAAAGACATCTATCTGGCTCTCACTGAAGCAAAGAAAGAATGTTATATTTTTATATCAAAAAAAACAGAACAGAAATTATATTACCTGCTATTGGCAAAAGAACTTAATAAGCCCAGGATTGTGCCTCTTCCACAACACTGTACTCGGCAACGTGTCGTTGTCAAACAACTCCATTAGCTTTCCATAGCTATTCTCCGGTGGGACGTGAAGTGCAACGGACATAAATTGAGCTCGAAGCTCTCCTGCTTCACCTATCCCAACGTGGAAACGGCTCCAGCAGTCCGCCACAACCACCAGTGCTGGGTATTGCACCTCCAGCCGTAGTA